TTTCATAAGAAAGTTTTTAAAATAATGAGGAGAAAAATAGCTTTGTTAGAATTTTCCATGAAGATAAAAGAATGGTTACAGTGAATTCATATGAAAACTCATCCCACCGACTTTTCTATTTTTCTATAGGTTTAATATAAAAATAAGTGTTTGAACTTTATTTCGAAAAATGTTTTAGTGCTTAAAGAATTTTTTGTAAAAATTAAGTGTCTAACGCTTTCATCGGAGAACTTTTAGGTACCTGGACCGTAACGGCTATTAAATTTGGTCGTTAAGTGACATGTGTAGAGCTCTGGTAATTTTAAAAATTTATTTTCAAAATTAAAAAAATCAAAAATATTTTTTATTAAAAAAAACCCAAATCACCCCGCGTTCTCTAACCCCCTTCCCCTTTCCCCATTTCATTAGATCATGACTGTCACCGCCAACTTCATTAGTACTGGTGTTGACCCCCGATCAAACTTCCGTTGACCTTTCGTTGTAATTTGTCACCGTTTTTCATGGAGAAGCGTTCGAATGTTCATCGGATTTTAAGTCATCGTCGCTATTTTTTGTCGATTTCGACCGATCCCTACGTCCATAAGTCACACCGCCAAAATCATTCGAAACACCTTGCACTTTCGCTCAAAACTCATCCTTGTCGTCTCTTCGTCGTTGCTCCTCTAGCGTTAATCGTGGAGATTAAGATTTTAAAGGTTTAGGGATTGTATATTGGAGATTTTAAAGATATAGGGATTTGGATATTAGAGATTTTAGAGATTTAGGGGATTTGGGTGAAGGTAAGGGTGACGGTTGATCAATGGGTGGGCGACGACGAATGGGTGATTGTTCGACGATGACGATGGTGGCCGAAAATGGGCGTCGACGGTTGGCAACGGAGTTGAAATGAGAGATATTAGTTTTTTAGAGTTTTTTATTTTTTTCATTAAAAGTTTGGGGTTTTTTTTATAAATAAATTAAGTTTTTTTAATTTTTTCTTTTTCATTAAAAATAATATTTTTATTATTAAAAAAATAAACAAATATAATGATGGATACCTAAAATTATAACTGAGAAAACGTTAGACACTAACTTTTAACGAAAATTTCTTTAAACACCAAATCATTTTTTGAAGTAAAATTTTAACACTTATTTTTGTATTAATCATTTTCTTTAAATAACTCAGAAGTTACTTCTAAATTTCATTTATTGAGAATTTGAGACATTGGTCTAATTAAGAATGTTAATCCCGAGATTTACTGATATTCAATTTAATTTTTTTAATTTAGATAATTTATAGGCTCGAATGTTAAATTATTATATGTTATATCAATAACCGGTTGGTCTAGTGGGATGAGGTACTATGTCTCTTAAGCAATGTCAAAGATTAAACCCTGACGTTTGCGAATGAAGCAAACTGAATTGAGAGGGTTGTCCTCACTTTTGCAGTACCCTATCTAAATTAGTATGTTAATAAAACGGATAGCGATATTAATTAAAAAAAACTATTATCTGTTCTGAATTTAGTGCGGATATAAATAAATATCATCGGGTATTTTTTTTTATTTAAATCAGAAATATTTATGCGGATGCATATTGTTGATTCGGATATGTATCCGAGGGACTGAGAAGGCATCAGAACGATGCTTTTATGCTTCACTTGGAACTACAACTTAAATGTGAACTTAAATATGTTATTCTCCATTACTACACAAGATGGTAGAAGTTTCCGTGTTCAACATCTAGTTAGGCCGATTAAAATTCAACTCGACTTGAAAAATTAATTTTTTACTCGATTCAATACGAAAAAACTTGACTCAAATTAATTTCGAGTTACAATTTCATGAATACAACTTGACTTGAAAAAATTTCAAGTTCAAATCAATAACTCAAAATTTTTAGTAATTAATGGATTGATTTTCAAGTTGGAGTCGAGACCTTCAATTTTGTATGATATATGTATATCATAAATAAAAAAAATGAATAAATATATTTGTATTGTATATATGGTTATAGAAAATCATTTAAAATGGAATAAAAATATTATAATATTATAAATGTTTACAATTAAATTTAAACAAAAAGTCAAAAATTGACTCGACTCAAATTTCATAAACTTGACTCGATTCGAAAAAATTTTAAGTCAACTCCAAGTTATAAAATATGACTCATCAACTCAAATAACTTAATTTTTTTTTGACTCGATCGAATGCTCATCTTTACATCTAGCAAGTGTAAAACTTAGTTCATCCATTAATTTTCTCTATATCAACTCTCTGCTACGTATGGTTTTCATTTGATTTTCATACCTAACAAATGTTTCATACAGGACCATTCAATGAGCATTCCAATGACTCTCGGTAAGGCATCTCATGGACTATATTTCGCCCTTGAAGTTTTTTCTGCTAGTTGACCCTCGCTTTGATGATCAAGTAACCATCTTGATTATTTGATTTAATAACCAGTTAAAATCAAATAGAATTAATATTATAGCCTCAATTTTTAAATTTAGTCCTTAAACCTATTAATTGATTGCATTTCTTTTTCAAACATAAGGCAATGTTGATTTACCAATGAGTTAATGGTGTTTCCTTCACATTATGTTTAGAGGGTGACTGTTAGTAATTCTCGAAGTAGATGGACATCTTTTTCAAAACCTTTTATTTTTTAAAACTTTGAGGCAATGTCCTATTATTGAGCACAATAATCTATCTCCCATATTCATGCTCTGGAGTGAATATTATTGGTTTTAATAAGCGAGCACCCTCTTTAACTTTGCATCCATAGTGATTTCTAAATTAAATAAAATTTTAAACTCTAAATTTTCAAATTTTAAAATATAGAGTAATCTACTAGGTACTAATTTCTGGGCGCTGTGGGGTACTAACCCTTCCCCATGCGTAACCGACTCCCGAACATGTTTTTTGGTTTTTACAGACTCTAAATTTGGTATTTTTGATAAAAATAAAAATATTTTATTAAATTATCTGATTTTTATGGTGTTCAAATTGCAACTTAAAATAGTTGGTGGCGACTCCCAACATTTCACAAAACCTAAGTCGCGCTGGTTTTTCTCCCCACCCGAGCGAAAAACGGTGTCGACAATTATTAAATGTATTTATTTATATACACAAAGTAGACTTAGTAAACTTGACCCGAACCGAGACCCGAAATAGACTCAAACATGATGATCTAAATTTGACTCGAAACCTTAGAAAACTGAATCAAATCGAAATCGTCCTGAATTTTATCTGGATAGAAAGTAACCCGAACTGAATCGAAACTGACCCAAATTTTAGCCAAATCGAAAGCCACCCGAACCGAAAGCAAATCAAACCGAAAATAACCCAAATTTAATTTATTCAAACCCGATCTGAATTGAACATTGACCCAATTTTAACCTGATAATTGTGTTAAAATGTATAAAAAAAACTAAAACAACTTACTAAATTGGTTTTATATTTATTTAAATCAAATTATGAATTATTAATCAATTAATTGCATCATATGTCCCCAGTCTATGACCCTCATTTCAAATTAATCCCTAAACTCTTAAACATTTCAATTTCATCATTAAACTATTACTATTTTAAATTAGTCCTTAAACTTTTAAACACTTTATTTTCATCCCCAAGCTATTATCTTTATCCTAAATTGGTCTCCAGACTTTTTGAATATTTCAAGTTTATCATAAATTATTCGTGTATACCAATCATATCTCATGTTAATAAAATCATTAGGCAAATTATATTATTATATGTTTGAAAAAAAATTAGGTTAAACTATGGTTGAAATGGATTACATATTTGGAGGAGTTTGGGGATGAAATTGAAAATCTAAAAGTTTAAGGATCAATTAAGAATGAGATTAATAGTTTGGGGATAAATTTCAAATATTCAAAAGTTTAAGGATTACATTAGAATAAGAATCATAGTTTAAGGATGAAAATGAGATAATTAAAAGTTTAACGACTAATTTGAAATGAGTCATAATTTTGAGACATATGATGTAATTCTTTATTGATATAATATTTTGCTTTGTAACTACTAAAATAACTTTCTGAAACTTCTAAATTAATTTACAAATTATTTTAATTCTTTTGTATATGAGAATCGTAGTTATTTTTACAATATAAAGATATATATTTTTATTTTTAATTTAAAATTAAAATATTATTGATGATATAATAAAATAATATCATTTATAAATATACTTAGAATAATATTTATTCAAACATAAAAAATATATTATTATTACTTTTAAATTTAATAAAAATATTATATTTGTAATTAAACGTTAAGTATTAATTTAAAATTTTAATAGATAATAAAGTTTATAATTAAAAAATTTATTTTTTAATCAAATAAACCGTACCATAAATTTTTTAATCCATATCAATAAAAAAATATCATAAAAATCTAACATATCTTAATGTTAGCTTGAATTAAATTATAATTTAAAAAATAATTGTTTTTGAATGAAATTGACTGATAATATTTAAAAAAAAAGACATTTTTACAAAAATATATCAATAATTTAATATATAATTGATTTGATTTATATCCAACCTAGGGATGACAGAATGGCCCGAACCCGACGAGAAACCTAATCAAATTCGGGTCGGATAAAATAATATCGAGTCAGGTCGAGTATCGGGAATTTTTTCAAAAAAAATTTCGAGTTCGAGTTCAGGAGAAGATATCTCCGCCCTAACCCGCTCCGATTATATATATAATATTTTACATTTTTTATATTAATTATATATATAATATTTTTGAATTCAGATATAATATTTCGGGTCAGGTTCAAGGACGAGACAAAAATAAATCCCCGACAAAACGCCCCGATAAAAAACCCGTCAAGAATCGGATTGAGGATTCATTTCAGGTTCAGGGACAGGGCAAACAAAACCCGCCTGTTACCATTCCTAATCCAACGTAACTTGAATTGAATTAAAGATCCAATGTTAACCCAAATAAAAAATAATTGATTAAATATTGATCCGACTTGAGAATCTTGATCGACTAAAAATCAATCTATTTGATATTGACTTTACCTAATACACCAAGTGGACCCAACTTACTATAAACCCAAATAAATCAAAATCTAAAATGAAAGATCTACCTGACCCGACTAAACTTAAAATAGACCCAAATAAAATCAAAATCTAAAATAAACATACCTAACTCGAATTAAATATAAATAAAAAAACTCAAACCGAACCCAATCAAATAACCCGTTTGCTACCTCTAACATAAACGAAGCCCACGACCTTAACTTTTTGTGTCCAATTCTATCCCTAATTTTAGGGTTAGCCACCACTCATCATAGAGATCATCACAATTACTGCCGCCGCCAAGCTTTATTCCAGTCGTCGCCGACTAAGTCCATCTCACTTCCAGCCGCGCCAATCGTCAAAGCCACTATCAAGGTGAAGCCACCGAACCAAATCTCGCCAAATCCGAGGCATTTAATGCCTCACTTTCCCGAACAAGGAGACTCATGCGTGGAAGGTCTGCACGTAAAAACCTCGCCAATCACTGTGTGTAGGAACTTATGAAGGTCAGAAGAGCAAGTATAAAATTAGGTTTTTGTAAAAAAAAAAAATCAAAGGTGGTTATAACCCCCATCCGGGAAAATATGTAAAGAAGAAAATAGGATTTTTCCATATCCAAAAGTAATAGAAACAGAACAATCCACATAATTTCAAAGAAGCAATAAAATCGTTTGAGGTATTTTTTAACTTGTTTTTTATTTCGTGTTCCATTTTTTGCATTTTGTGTGTGTTTGGGGGGGGGTTGAGTTAAAGAAAATGGAGTAAGGAAAAGTTAGTGGTTTACCTTAGAAAGTCCGTTGAGTTCCTCGTCGGAACTGGGTTCATCGGAGAAGGTCTCGATTGAAGACGGATAGCAACCGTCGCCTGGTGGTCGTCGGAGATCTGAAACCGAAGATTTTGTTGAGATTTAGGGACTTTAGGAGTTTAGTTTGGTTGTTTTGGTCTCGGGTATGAGTTTAGAAAGGAAAACGAAAGCATTTAGATTCTATTTGCGATAAGTTTGAGTTTTTCGGCCACCTTCGGTGGTGGTCGGAGCGAGAGATTATGCATATCTACGACGGGCCATTAGGTTGCTATGAATTTTGTGAGCGGCGCCGGTGAGAGAGTTAGAGAGGATTGAGAGAAAAATAGAAGGGGTGGGGCTTTTTTTCAAATTAGGGTTCAAATGGACTCAAACGAAAAAAGTGGTTTATATAGTAGAAATTTAGGGATTAATTCACTTATGGTCCCCAGAAATCTAGAGTAGTTTTGCATTTTAGTCGCTGAATCAAAGTTTCTTTCTTTCCATATCGAGCTTGTAATTTTTCTATGCTCTTACTTTGGTCCCCATACGTTGCTTCCATATTTAGGCGCATCTTCTAACCTTGATTGATAATTCTGTACACATATACACATTTACATATATGCCTGCGTAACCTATGCATATAGTGTAGTTATTTCCATATATATATATATATTAAATGTAGGATATGCAATAATTATTATCTTATATATATATGTGCATGTATGCGTAATATATACATAATGTGGTTTGGTCACCTGCCATTTTTTAATATGATTCATATTCATATTTCTGTAATATGACCTCCGAAGAACTCTTTCGTAGTTGAGATCACAAAAGAATATTCTCAGATATAGAAAAATCATGATCCTTGACATAATTCCTAACAAGTTTACGTGATATGTTAGAAAAAATATTAATTGACAATTGATCACGTCAATTGGGTATACGAACGTACAAGTAGTCATATTAAATGACTTTATACCCTATACCCAAACCAGTTGCATTGTGTTGAAACACTAGAAAATAACAGAATGATGATATGATCGCAACCCAACACCTCTCTATCCACTATGGCTTTGGTGGAATTTGCAAGGCTTCTTTGCTTTCTAACATTTCTTTGACCTTACTTATAATAGGCCTATCCTTGGGATTAGTTTGTATGCACCACAAGCCAACTATTATCATCTTCCTTGCAATTTCCGTTTCTTCTTCATTCAAAAGACCAAGTAATTCCGGCTCAATATTGCCTTGCTCAAGATTCTGATGAATCCAATGTGGAAAATATATCTCACTCGTCTCATGTACCCCAACATCAAGGTTCTTTCTTCCTCCAGCCATCTCAAGAATCATCATCCCATAGCTATACACATCCGATTTATGAGAAACGCTTCCGATGTTCCTACAAAACACTTCGGGAGCAATGTAACCGATCGTTCCCCTAGCTTCTATCATCGATACGACACTATCCGTCCCGTGACATAGTTTCGCAAGCCCGAAATCGGAGATCTTCGGATGGAATTCATGGTCTAAAAGAATGTTATGAGGCTTTATGTCGAAATGCAGGATGCGAGTGTTGCAGCCGAGGTGCAAGTATTCAAGTCCCCGAGCAATTCCGATCGCGATTCGATACAATTCTTCCACTGTCAAGACCCGACCATCGTCGCCGGATGTCATTCCGTAGATGAATTTTTCTAGAGATCCATTCGACATGAACTCATAAATCAACGCTCTTTTCCCACCCTCCAAACAAAACCCTAAGAGGGTGACGATATTAACGTGAGACGTTCGACTGATGCTAGCAACTTCATTGATGAACTCTTGGCCGTTTCCTTTCGAGGTATTGAGCACTTTGACGGCAACAAGATGGTTGTCGGGTAACTTCCCTTTGTAAACACTTCCATAACCTCCTCTTCCGAGCTCTTCTTTGAATGAACCCGTCATCTTCTTCACTTCTGAATAACTGTATCTTTTAGGAGTCAGGGTTCCATTGTTTCTCAGGAAAGCCTCAAGATCTTGATCTTTGTTTGTGAATTTCCTCAGAAATTTAGCTGTTGTAATGCACGAGATATTTCTTCTAAAACATACAAGGATGATACCACTGATCAGTAGACCACTTGCTGCACTAACAATGCCTGTCATATAAAAATGTACGCGAGTAGTTCTCTTAATTTCTTTTCATGGCGGTCGATTAAAATAAAAGTAAAATATAATGATGGAGATAATTTTTTTTAAAAAAAGAATAATTAATTAACAAAACGAAACTAAAATTGAGAATTGAGCGGTTAAATACATAAATTTTCATTTGAAAGTATGAAGTGTTTAAAAAATATATATGTACTATGAGGCAATGAATGACGTTTCTAACAATGAAACAGCGTAGAATCAGGGGATTATAGTACCGATGAGCAGCTTTCTATTCAAGTTAGAACCACCACCTGAAATAAAAAGAAAAAAAGGTCAATTACCATCAGTTTAAAATTTAAGAGTACTCAAGATAATGCTATATATTAAACTTGCCTATGATATTAGTGACCACTGCCAGGGCGATATTGCAAATGAAAGACAATTGATAACTTGCCTATGAAGTGAATGGAAACTGCCGAAACAATAGTGCAAATGAAAGATAACTGATAACTTGCCTCTCGAGTAAAACCGATTCAGGAAAGCTAAAATGAAAAAAATAACAAAAAAAAAATATGAAGAAGTCATGGAAGGAAGAATTGGTAGAGTTAGAATGTATGCCCTATGCAGTTACCGTCGTTGCAGGTCTTAGGATGAGGTCCGTCCGAGCAAAAGCAAACGAATTCATCAGTATTACCGAAACCGCAGCGGCCTCCACTTCTCTTACAGTTGCTGCAACTATGTGCAATCCAGTTCAAAACGAACCCCAACTTCAAAACGTCGGTATAATTCATTCGTAATAAGCTAACGAAACTAACACCGTCGTTGACGTACACGGGGGATTCGATCAGAGTTTGGCATGACTCGATCGAGTAATTAGTATTCTCCAAAGCTTCTTTGTGGAAAACAGCGAAGGAATGGAATGAAGTATTGCTAGCACAACTTACTGGATATGTATGGTACGTCGGTTGCCCCTCACAGTAGTATAAAATGGAAAGATTGACATTATCAGGACTAAGGCTAAACGGAGTTCGATCGAGACTAACATTTTTCCAGGGAGTCGGACAATGATCCTCATGAACAACAGAATTGACAACAAGCAATGAATTGTTGTTGTAAAATATATCTCTGATGATGTAAGTTTCCTCAGAAATTTTGAGTATAGGATCTTTCTCTTTGCAGGTGATCTCGAAGTTCGGATAGCCGCAGAACGATTCTTGTTCTTTGAAAATCCAAAAAGGGTAGCTTATATCGGGACCGTTACCACAGCTTCGAGGCATACAAGCTTCGAAGTGTGAGTCGGCGGACATGGTTCCGGGTGCCATTGCTAAGGTGATCAAGAAGATGATCATTACATAGGGAAATGATCTAAAATTTATCAGCTTTTGTGGATCCATTTGAGGAGAAAGCAAGAAGGGATATTATGAACTAGAAATGGTATTTGAGCTTTTAATTTTTGAATCAAGTGTGATCGGATTTCGAAAAGGAAAACAAAAACAAAACAATTATTAAAGTGAAGGCAAAGATATTGCTGTTTAGTGTACAACTTCCTACCTAGATTGACTATACTACATTCAGATCAATGGTGTAGGTTTGCCTGATCTCATGCATCCATTTAAGTGAACTCTATGGGCCAATAAACTATTGTTTTTTCAAATGATTCGGTGGCTCCTACCCTTTTAATTGCTTCAATGGAAGCCAACCTATGCATGAAACCCGCTACAAATATATTTATTACGTATGCAATCGCGATAAATATAATTCGTTCAATAATAAAAATAATATAACAATATATTTTTTTTAAAAATAGATTAAACTGCTCTTTATAATTAAGTGAAAGTAGTGACATCTACTGAGACTTGAGGATGAACAAATACTCATCTTAAAATTTAATTTTTAATGTAATTACTTATTTTATTAATTGCGCGCATCTTAAAATTTTATTTATATCCATACGTATAAATCTTTTTTATACGTAACTAATTTATGTAAGTGAAATCTTATTTGACATGGAAAAAAAGAAATGTACCTACCCATTGCAAAATGGTGTGGAATAAGTTGAAATTAATATAAAAACAGAAATGTCTTGGTGGTTGAACAGTGAAAGAAAGGATCAGCCACGCCTCTCTATTTCCACTCGACGTGGGAAACGATGGGTCTAAGGCATTGGTTCTTCAGATTTGTCAACCTAAGTAAGAAACTTGAAGATTATAGAGAAGAAAATTGGGAAGAATTAAGGGGGAAATGTTTGTTATTATTCAAGGCTGCTTTGTGAATTGTGAGGAATTGACGGATTCAAAAGCTGGACATTAATGGAAGCTGCTGGTGAAACACCAGGAAATGTTTTTGAGGTGGCCCCTCCATGGAACTAAACGTCAAAACGATTGGTCATGTTAAGACCAAAAGCTTTTCTGTTATTGGCCATAAGAAAGCTAGGTGTGAAAAGAAGAAAAACTGATACCATTAATGGCCATGGAAAGTATTTATGAATCAGCTATTTCTAAGGATCACTTCTAACTAGGATGGACCCAAGGAGTGCTGGGATGCGGTCGCACCCTCTAAGAATTTTAAATTCGTTGTAATTTTTATTAATTATCTAATTTCACAGCACCTAAGATTTTATAACTTCACACCCCTTAAAAATTTTAATATAACTTCTTAAATTCCCACATCATCCATGCTTTTAACAGTATCCTTTACAAGGTAATATCTATAGTTTCAAAGAAAAGTAGGGAGTAGAAATTTCCATGGGATTGAGAGAAAGGGAAAGGAAGGCAGGTGGCTGGTGAAAGATACTGGTAGAAGATGATAGCGGCTTAAGTTTCAAATGTCTAAATCTAAACGCTAATTCACCTGCAACAGAGAATTGGTCCATGACCAAGTCCAAATTCAAAATTTCACATGAATTCTTTATCTTTGTTTTTTATTATCACCAACCTCTGTGTGCCTAAATTAACTATTCAATAGAAGCTGAACTGCACTTTCCTTTAAAAACCTTTTTTTATAAAAAAAAATTACAGATTTACGCCCACATAAATCAGCTTAAATGATTAAATATTCGTTGATTTAGTGAGGTAAAGTATTAGATTTTAAAATAAGATTAAAAATTTAAATTTCGACATTATAAATAAAATAAACTAGACTAGAAAAATTGTCTCCATCATAAATATCTATAATATTTAATTTAAATTAATTAACTAATAAAATAATTAGAATGATACATACAAGTAGTATGACCTGATTTATCAATAAAGCCTTATTTTTATGGTATTAGTGCTGCCAGGCCTATAATGGTCCGAAGTACAAGCCCAAGAGGTCGAATGAGGACGAATAAGACAGAAGACCTCATCCCACAAATGTTAGTAAAATTCAAATTCGTTTTATATATATATATTTATAATAAAAATATAATAATTTAATTAATTAATATAAATATGATTTTAATAAGAAATTTTAATTACATATACAAATTTTGATTAAATTTTTTTAATGATTATTTTTTATCTCACCACAATTCACCTTACCAATATAAATATATATTCTATTATTAATTTTAATCACGACTTCAATATTCAATCTCATTATTATTTTTATTTTTATATTTATGATCAATTCAAACAAATCATCACATTCATCTCTAAGACTACTATAAAGTAAAAAAAATACTACTATAAAGTGAAATTAGGATTTCTTGGCTCATTGCAAATTAATAATTTGTTCTTTTTATTAATCTAAGATGTTTACCCTGTAATCTTTGGTGTTCGAACTTGAAATCTCTTAGAATAACAACTATTCCCTTGACCATTAGGATAGCTTAGTTAGTGCTAATACTTTATTCTTAGACATAGAATTAGCATAACAAGTATATAATTTATACCATGACCTAGGATTAATGTGGAATGTCAATGACCCCTAAAGAAGAGTCTAAGGAAAGACAACCCTAATTTAAGGCTAGGAAAATATACGACCGAAAATGTTATAAAAGAAACATAACATTTTTAGTTGATACACCTTAAAATGTCAATTTTTTTTGGTTGTATATTTTCTTTTGTAACATTTTAGGTTGACAACTGTGGTAATCTTATTTTAAGTTTTGGTTCATTCGCAACACGAAAAAATAAGGTACTATTTTTGAAGTTAAACTATTATCATTATACTTATTTCTTATTCAAAATAAACTAATTACATTAAAGGGATATTTTTCTTAAAGTTAATTTCTGAATAACAAAAATATAATATACGATAAATGATTAAAAATTTAACCAAACAATATGAAAAGAAATAAAATATATAAACAAATAATACTATTGATTAGCACTATTCATATTCGTAATCTATCCACAAAGAGCTACAACAACGCGTGGTTAGAAGATACGTGGTTTGACCCGATGACAGGCTACCATTTTTGAGTTGAACAATGTAGAATGGAGCTTTGAGAGATTGTGCGTACCTGGCTTTTTGCAGACTGGGTATCGAGGTGAACTCACGTTATCGCACAGACCTTTGTGGCTGTTGCATTTCCCACAGAAAATTTCGGGAAAATTATACTCCACGTCAAATCCCAGTCTCCATCTCCCAGATCCCAAAATTTCCGGCCCTTCTCTATTGAGTTGTTGAAAATTTGTCCGATTAATCTGAACTTGGATAACTCCGCCGTGACAAGAGCGGCTAAACCGTTCATAAGAACCCCTATCTACTAAATCATCCGCATAGAAAGAATTTGACCCTTGGGTGCACGGGAATCGAACCCCATCGCTTGGTACTACCGATTCGTCGCAATCGTAAAAGAAAGTAAGGTTTCGGTTTGTTGGAGGGAATGAAAAGGGGTATCCCAGAGTTATGTTATGGATGCGAGGCGAAGGACAAATTCCTTCCCACAGATCGTCTCTAGCGATTGTCATTCTATAACCGGGTTGATCGACGGAAATCAATCGGAATTCATCGGCACCGATTCTTATGACGGGCTCGTCGTCTTCCTCATCGCATTTGGTCAACTCAAAGCCTTCGTTGTGACAGATTCCGGGGCTACCCTCCTTCCAAAATGGGAAGACGAAGCGCGACATGTTTCCACAACGGAAACTTTCACAACACTGCATAATACCTGTTGCATTTTGGGCGTATGATATTGGGAGCTGGGCGAAGAACAGTAAACTGATTGACAAGAAAGTGGAGAGGAGATGCATTTTTTGAAGTTGTGAGTGGAACAGGAGAGGGGAAGATATATAAAATTTTGGAAAATTATGTAATCTTTCAAGGATTAAAATGTAAATAAATTGGACTGTTCCATTTGACCGAATAAATAAATATGAAGATTACGTAGCTTGTTTAGAAATTTCCATGGAAGACAAAAGGAAGATCTGACAGGAACAGCTGATGACTTTTGACTTGCTCCATGGTTGGTAGAAAACGCAATGCCTGGGGAAGTTACGTTGAAATTTCATCTCTTTCATTCAGATTAAACCGTTTTGGGTAGACTACATATGTAGTACCTAAGTTATTGTTTTTCTGTTTTAGTACCCAAATTTTATTTCTTTTTCAAAATCATACCTAACATTTAGTTTAGGTTTTAATTGGTTACCCGCCGTAAAAAAATTAACAGAATTGTTGATGTGTCATTATTTTATGGTGACACGTCAACGTAACCGTTAAGTTTTTAACGACATGAGTACCGAAATGAAACCTAAACTAAATGTTAGGTATGATTTTGAAAAAAAAATCAAGTTTTATATCAAAATGGTACAAAAGAAATAATTTAAGTACTATATGTGTAGTTTATCCTTTCAACTATCAGAACAAAAGTAACAATTTGAGTAACAAAACGGAACAAAAGTAATAGTTTTAGATCAAGTTTTGAAGAGGCCCATAATAGAGACAACCATCCAAACATAGGTTGCTCTATTCACAAACATCAAGATTCGATCTTTTGACCTTATCTATGAAATTTAGTGTCTCGTCCATTAGACCAACAATTAATTGGCTCCTAAACCTATTAGGTAAATTATACTGTTCAGCACTAAACTTTACTCTCTCTCCTATTTTGCTCACTGTACTTTCAATTTTTCTAATTTGCTCACTGAATTTTACATATTGAATCATTTTGCTTACTATGTCATTAACTTTTTAATGGCGTGATGATTTGTCATTTTTTATTATTATTTAATATAAATAATTGAACATATATAGCATTAAATTACGTCATTCCTCACTGAACTTTACTCTCTCTCATATTTTGCTCACCCAACTATAAAATAAAAACATAAGGTCACCAGATGCCACCGCCGGCCACCGCCGACTGCTGTAGATGGTGGTCGTTTGGTCCCAAATTTCATAGGTTGCTTCGTCTCGACACCTTGAGTCTGAATCCAACCTCCATTTTGTCGGAACTTGCTTCTAAGTCCACGAATTGGAGATTGATAGTGAGGAAGCTAAAATATTTCAG